GTCAAGCCTAACCGTGAGGTTTTACCTTACTTATGTATATGTACTTCATAAAATATGTAGGCAAATGAGCGATGTATAAAAAATCTTCGACGCAGTTTTATTTTTTGTTACGATTTTTCACGTCATTTACTCCGAATGCTTTATTAAACTATAAATTATGCGAATTTGTTGCAATTTTTTCGTTTTTTTTTTTTAATTAATCGAAATTTTGGGGGTGTAGAAGTCAAACGGATCTTATATTCGGATTGAGCGGACCGAAATACAAGTCGGTAGGTGGATCTGGTTAAAGCACACACAATATGTATGTACATAATAGCTATTATTCTGACCTGTTTACCTGGAAATCTTATTTTAAGTATAAAAACCAGTAAAAATAAATATATTTAGCGCTGTCAAACGCCGTTTTCTTGATTAAAAGATATGGTAGGAAAGCCATTTTGGTAGGTTTTGGAACCAGTTCTTGGTAGGAAAGAAAGTTTTCCAGTGGTTAACCTGCCAGGGTCATCGCAACTGCGACAGAACCTATTGAAGGGCAATCCTATCCTTTCGGCATGCACCCCAAGGGGCCAGTGCCCTGTGCATACCAAACTACAGGAGTTCAACTTGCGATGCATCCACCGCGCAGGTGCTAAGAACGAATTACCTGCTGTTTTAAGCAGATGTCCGACACTTCCTCCAATAGAATCGACAACGATTGTCCTAACCGCCAAAAAGTCGTAAGCGACAAAAAGTAAATTGTTCAGTAGGCGTTTAACACGGCAATTACTGTAGATACTAACTTGAAGGTCAATGAACAAGTTATGTTTGATGTCAGGTATATAATACTGGTGGTTTTATTGCGGCCAACTGGTGAAACTGGTGATTTTGTCGCTTACGCCGTTCTTGCCGTCATAAAAATAGGCTGCAGCACGCAATTGCGGCAGTTAAGCCAAAAGATATATTTAACAAAAAAAAAATATTTTTTTGCATTAACAAAAATCATTTTGATGCCTTTAACTCATTTCTGTTGTTCTTGTTATTAAGAAAACAACTCTTCAACACAAATACATTCGTTATTGATTAAAATACTATTCCGATATAAAAACTAATGGCGATTTCGTTTGTCCCAAAAAAATGTTGTTCTTCCATGGTGCAAAATTTGTTTGACGTTACACTCAAGTAGGGTGGCCAGATATTATAGTGACATAATCAGTACAGTTGGGATCAAAAATCAGTACAAAGTCATAAAAATCAGCTAATTTTTAAGGGTATTTTTTATTATTAACAATATAACAACCAAATAACAGCGCATTAATTTAACAAAAAATAACTAATATATATTTTATATTTCCTTACTTAATTTAAATTTATTATAAAAATATAGTTAATTCTATAACAAAAGACATCTGAGTTGAAGTCTCAAACTTTCTAGAAAATTTATAAAAATTGAGAAAAAAAATAAAAATTTGTAGCCCATTCAGTTGCAGTAGAAGCCGAGCTCGAGTCAGGATCTGTTTGCATATTTTAAGCTACAAATTTAAAACTTATTTAGTTGGTGTGCTTATTAAATACAACATTCACATTAAAATGTTGACTAAAAGATATATTACCGAATTATCGGTAAACGAATTTTCGAGTACGAATGAAATTTAATAGTGTTAAATGTGTATGTGCAAGTAAAATTACAGGTGGTAGAAGATCAAAAAATCAAAGTAAAGCTATATATATCATATTCAAGAGTCGGTTGTTTGCACCTGTTCCAAATTTTTATACCTTTCATGAGCATGAAATGGTATTATAACTTTGGTCCGATGTTTGTAAGTACCAGAATAAGAAGAGATAGACCCATTAAAATGTATACTTAAATGATCAGAGTGTCGAGCTGAATCGATTTAGCCATGTCCGTCTGTCCGTCTGTCTGTCTGTCTGTCTGTCTGTCTGTCTGTCTGTCTGTCCGTCTGTTTGTATGCAATCTGGTCTCTCAGTTTTCGAGATATCCGGATAAAATTTGGTAGGTGGGTGTATTTTTATAATGTATTAATCATTTGTCGGAACCGGAAGAATCGGACCACTATAACCTATAGCTCCCATACAACTGATTGTTCAGATATGAGATTTTTTGCGATAACTTCCCTATTTATGCTGCTAGGAACATACATTTCGCAATATTTCCACCCATTATCAAAGAAATACTTACAGTGAAAATGGCGAAGATCGGGTCGATATAACCTATAGCCTCCATACAACTGATTGTTCAGATATGAGATTTTTTGCGATAACTTCCCTATTTATGCTGCTAGGAACATACATTTCGCAATATTTCCACCCATTATCAAAGAAATACTTACAGTGAAAATGGCGAAGATCGGGTCGATATAACCTATAGCCTCCATACAACTGATTGTTCAGATTCGAGAGTCTTTGTTATAACTTCTCCATATATGCAGCTAGAAACATGAAATTTCGCAAAATTTTCCCCAATTACCAACAGAAAATTTAGAGTAAAATTAACAAAGATCGGGTCACTGTAACCTATTTATATCCTCCATACAACTGATTGTTCAGATATGTGGCTTTACTATAAAACTCATTTATTTGGGCTGCTAAAATAGATAAATTTCGTAAGCTATTCTATAAATAATAACACAAAGTCTACTGAGAAAATTGCCAAAATCTATGCTATATAAGCTTTATCTCCTATACCTCTGATTGTTCGAATACCAGTTATTACGATATATCTCCTTTATGTAGGAGTCTAAACCCATTAAATTGTGTTACCGGTTTACATACCGATCACACAGTAGAGAAAATCACTTAGATTGGTGCTATATAAGGTATATATTACATACCTCTGATTGTTTAGATATGGTTTTTCATAGATATATCTCCTCTATCTATGTATTCTGTAAACATATAAATTTTTTCAAATGCAGTAATCTGTTAAAGTAAAATTTTCAGATGTTCATGAAAGGTATGAAGCCTTCGGCATACCCGAAGACAGCGCTGCTCTTACTTGTTAGAACTTGCATTGCACCGAAGCAGTAGTCGTCTTAAGTTTGAAATACTGACAGCCGATTTCTCAGTGGATGTTTAATTATAATCAAAAGATTATCTCTTATTGTCATCTTCTCAGTGTACTTAATATATGATTAACTCACCACCACCTTTCATAAGATTTATTAATGGCGAAACCAGCTTTTCCTGTAAATCCTGTAAAACCTGCAAATCGTGATTGCAAATCGGGTTGGGTTGAATCCAAGCAGTTTGTTATTTTGCGAACTCCTAGGAAACGAAACAATTGCAAGCTGACACCTTTTTAATAATGGTTTAAATTTAATTAATGCTTTCAATCTGCTCACATGTACATATGAGTTGTCAAAAACCATTGTTTTGAATATGTAAACCTCAAGTAAATATCAATTACACCAATTTACAAAAGTATTTATTAAATGTAAAAATCAGTACAAAATCAGTACAAACTCAAAAGATCAGTAGATTTTGCGTACTGATTTCGGGCTCTTAAAAATCAGTACAATAGAAAAAAATCAGCACATGTACTGATCAGTGTTGCCGTTTTAGCCCTTTGGTGGCTAGATTTAGCTACCACATACTTTTTTTGGCCATATAAATTTAAAATTGCCCCTAGATCTTTCGATCTATTTTGATCTATTTTTTTTCATTTATGTAAGAGATGAATTTTTAATTTTTAAATTTTTTTTTACGTTTTCATACATACATACTGTAAAAGTGTTAGGGTTGTTATCTTATCTATTAACGGTTTAACTATAGTTTAAAATAGATAAGTTTACAGTCCTTAGTATGCTTAATTTGTTAAATGGCCCATCAAGTCGATTGACCGTGTATGTTCTTGTGATGTGATTGTACCAGCTGCTGGTGGGACTTCTAAAACCAGCATGCTGGTGTCGTGAGTGGCGAAATTAGCTAAATTTTCTAAGTAAAAANATCTTTCGATCTATTTTGATCTATTTTTTTTCATTTATGTAAGAGATGAATTTTTAATTTTTAAATTTTTTTTTACGTTTTCATACATACATACTGTAAAAGTGTTAGGGTTGTTATCTTATCTATTAACGGTTTAACTATAGTTTAAAATAGATAAGTTTACAGTCCTTAGTATGCTTAATTTGTTAAATGGCCCATCAAGTCGATTGACCGTGTATGTTCTTGTGATGTGATTGTACCAGCTGCTGGTGGGACTTCTAAAACCAGCATGCTGGTGTCGTGAGTGGCGAAATTAGCTAAATTTTCTAAGTAAAAATTATTTTGGCGGAAATTTCTTGCACTATATGAGTCAACGCCGTGTGTGTGGAGGAGTAAGTTCCTGATATTGCAGTTGTGAATTAAAGAAGTCTGATGAGGAAATGTGGTGATTTCCGTAATAGCTATCACTTCTACCATTTTTTCAAATTATTGTTGCTTTTCCACAATAAGTTTGCACATAGTACGGCCTCGAGCTCATAAAAATTGTTGAATATAGTTGTGAATTAAAAAAAAAAAAAACAATGTTTAACAAAATGGTAGAAAAATTATGAAATTTCGGCTCTAATCATTTCGATCTTTCCTCGACCTCGTTTGTAAAGAAATGAATATTGTAGCAGCATGCTGGTAGGTTAAATGCTTCGAGCATGATGGTAAAATCACTTGATGGAGCCAGCAAGCTGGTGTCTTATATTTTCCCTTAAATACAAAACGGTTGTTGGTTGGAAAAATATTTGCTTTTTTTCCAGAGTTCATTGTTTTTCATACCATTGCTTATTTGAAATGTTTGCGTGTATGCTTTTATATGTTTATGTAAGTAAAAAATTGCAGCTACCATTTTTAGCCACAACGACTTTTTTTAGCTCTTTTTTAGCCCTTTTTTTAAAGGAATTTGGCTACCAATAAAAATGATTCGCGGCAACACTGGTACTGATTAAATCAGCGCATCTGGCCACCCTACACTCAAGCCTGTAAAAATGCATGTTTTACCTACTTATCCTTATCGGGCTTACGCATTTCATAATATTATCATTTTAAGTAACCTTCTGCTTTACAGGGCAACCATCTCCCCTGACAAAGCATCAAACGGCAGAGGATGAGCCTTTTTTGCCTTACTGGAGTGCAATATTTTAAGAAACGGACACAGAGCTTTCCTCTTCTGCTAACTCTTCAGAAGAATCGGTGCCGCTGTATGGGACAAGTGCGCCTTTAGTTAAGCTCTGCAATAAGCAAGTATTTTAACACCATATACATGTATTATATTTGTATCGTTTTGATTAAAGGTCTTAATCTACCAAAAATGTATGTATTTACCTTTTTTTGTAAATGGTCCCTATTTGGAAGGAATAAGTTAATTGTAAAATCAATAATTTTTAAGTCAAGCTTTCTAAATATGAACGTAATCGGACCAAAAAGACTGGTTTACCAGACTCATGCGCCACCTATCGGCAAAATTTTTAGTGGAGTTATTCCTTTTCATGTAGTTAATATACGTTCTAAATATGAACCAAATCGGACTATAAATACTGCGCCGCCTATCGCCTTAAGTCATCCTTCTTATTGCATTGTCATCGGGTTCTGAGCCAACTGTGAAGTTTCAAGTCTCTAGGCCATCGGGAAGTTGATCGAAAATTTATTGCAAGATTCGCCCCTAGCAAACATACATACGTACGCAAGTGAAATAAAAGCTGGTAAAATAGAGGCACTTTAAAACTTTCACTCAATGTAACAATTCCCCTCTGCAATGAAAAATTTTTCACGGCGAAAAAGGCTTAACAGAGTACAATTAAGCCCTTAAAGCAAAATTGCTTTCGCTATAACTTTGTAACTGTACTTCGTTACAACTGGTGCATATGGTGTAAGTAATAGATTTCTCTCAAAAACGGAAAACCGAACATTTTGTCGCTTACGCCCTTTTGGCGGTTAGGGCTCGATATATCGGGTGGTTGATATCGACCACGAAGTCCTCAACGGCAAAGAAGCGCACGCCAAATGCAAGCAATTCATAGCATCAAGTTCTTTCAGAAAGTGATTATCTCAAAGCTTTTCTTTAAAATATTAAGTAGCGTAAGCGGGGCGCAGGTGTATTTACGATCAACAACATGAAACCATGGTGTGCCCACACTCTAGTGGATGACGACTACGATACTGAGGAATGACCGAGCTGTCATCTAGAGATGGCAAGCTTGGTAAATGAGCGACAGCGTGGCAAGCCTAACGAGCGGAGGGTGGCACAATAATCAAGTAGCGAAAGCCGAACCGCACGGATGTATAATAGCCCAGTTATGCATACTTGCACTGCTATACCATTTTTACGTAAAAATCAAAACCCAACAGAATTCTACATGTTAAGTGCTATGCGTTGGGTAACTGCTTACACGCAAAGTCCGTTTAACAGATTCTTATGTGACAACTCTCATGCTAAGCTAAGTATGCATAACTGGGCTATAAGAATCGGTCCGGTTCCGCACAACTTGGTTTTTCTGCAGTCACTCTCTTCATCGCTCCACTACATTCCTGTCTTTAGTTTTATTCAGATGAGGCGTGGGTTACACAGTGCGGCGCCGCGCCATTGCGCTGATACCGAGAGGTGAGTTTCGGACGCTGATACCGATTTTCAAAACTCTGTAAAGCAATGGCGCCAGCAACACCGGAATACTGATAACACCGGGTGTCGCAAGAACCAGCAAAGAACACACAAAAGAGAAATATCTATATACTATATAAAAATTAATGTTTGTCTGTATGTCCTTTATAGGCGTCAAAAGTACCCAACCGATTTTCATGAAATTTTTACGGTAGGTGCATATAATCACTGGGAGTGTTATAGAACAAAACTAATGTCGATAGGTGGCGCTGAAGTCGAGATATTTCTAAAATCCGTATTTACGGTCCGATTTGCTTAAAATTCGGTACGCAGGTAGCTTTTTAGCATATATTAGCATATATGATTTATTTTTCCGAGAAGGGGACCAGGTACCGATCTATTCGAAAAAATCGTATTTACGGTCCGATTTGCTTAAAATTCGGTACGTAGGTAGCTTTTTAGCACATATTAGCATACATGATTTATTTTTTCTGATAAGTGGACCAGGGACCGATCTATTGAAAAAATCGTATTTACGGTCCGATTTGCTTAAAATTCGGTAAGTAGATAGCTTTTTAGCACATATTAGCATACATGATCCATTTTTTCTGAGAAGTGGACCAGGGACCGGTCTATTCGAAGAAATCGAATTTATGGTCCGATTTGCTTAAAATTCGGTAAGTAGATAGCTTTTTAGCACATATTAGCATACATGATCCATTTTTTCTGAGAAGTGGACCAGGGACCGGTCTATTCGAAGAAATCGAATTTATGGTCCGATTTGCTTAAAATTCGGTAGTTAGGTAGCTTTTTACCTGGATAAGCTTATAGATTCCTGTTTTCCAGTTTTCATGCAATTTCGAATATAAATAGCTTTGAGCAACCACCATATCAAGGGGCGAATTCGTCACTAAGCAAGATATTTTTGCGCCAATCAGAAACAACGGATACTGTCAAAATATAATTATAATATATAATTTATCTCAACTAATATATATTTTGAAAGCCGCTTTTTAGTTTTCGCAAGGCTCGAGAGCGGCTGAACCGATTTTTTTGAAACTGCCACCTGCCGCACGTGCCCCAAGGATGGTTTTAGGCTAAAAAAAATCAATATGTAAAGGGGGCGTGGCACCTCCCATACCAACCGAATTTCTCATGCTACATATCTCTGAAAGTGTGCATGGTAGAGTTCTGGAACTTGGTATGGAGATATAGGAAATCAATCGCATACCCTTGGAGAAAAATGTAAGCTGTTGTAAAAAGGGGTGTGGCATCTCCCATACAAACCAAATTTTTCATACTACGTGTCTCTGGAAATGTTCATGGTAGAGTTCTGGAACTTGGTATGGAGATATACGAAATCAATCGCATACTCATGAAGAAAGAGGGCAGCTCTTGGAAAGGGGGGCGTGGCTCCTCCCATATAAATCGAATTTTTATACTGCATATCTCTGAAAGTATTCATGGTACAGTACTGGAACTTCGTATGGAGATATGTATATAGTTGAAATCAAGCCCATACTCATGGAGAAAATTTGGGCTATTTGAAAAGGGGTGTGAGGCCTACAAACCTACCGACCTTTAGCTATCTTTGAATGAATTTTTTTATTCTTCTGTAGGTGTGTTTGTGAGTGAAATCCTCCTAAATGGTTGTACGGATTTTAACGAAACTTTTTGTGTATTTGAGTGGGTCTCTTTATGGTTTAGTTTCACAATTTAATCCGACAGTTGGCGCTTTAGTTGAGTTATTACTAAAAATCTTATTTATGATCCGATTTGGCTAATGTTTTAACTATGTATGCAATACTATTGCAAAAACGTGCTGCCAAGTGGTGCTGAAGTCAAGTTATTACTAAAAATAGCCAAGTGAGAAAAGGGCCGTGAAGGTCAGATTAAATCGAGCTGTTGCACCGTTGAGTATATCGAACGCTCCTGCGTTGCGATTGGCCCAATAGATGTGATTTTCCAATATTATTATTCAAAATTTTAAGGTATTTCGTGTGAAATAAGTAGATGTATATTGCATTTCTGTAGCACAATGATCCGCACCCATTTTGAAATTGCCACCAACTATACTGTAAAGCTTCTAGGACATTCACTATAGAACCGGGTCATTGTTGCCGCCAGGGAGTGAAGAGGAAAAAATGTATTTCGCTTTGCGAATAACCGTGCTATGAAATGCCGCACAACTGGAGAATTTCAAGAACTTCTTCACGGATATAACACTTTCCTTAGGTTATTTAAAGCGGCAAATGACCACCAAACCATATTCTTAGCAGACGAATGTGCCAATGAAAATCGTAAACGTGAATTGTTGGTGAAAATGTTGGACCAAAAAGTTTCAATAAAATATATAATAATTTTGGGCGGGACGAAGTTCGCCGGGTCTGCTAGTCACTTATAAAATGTGCAGCACAAGGCGAATTTATACAAGTTGGTGTTGCTAGAATTCGCCCAAGTCCTTCTGAATGTGAAAATGATGTGTTTGTTGTATTTTTGGGTACTTCTTGCCGTCATTGTGCGTATAATTTGTTGTATTTTTTTTTTGCTCAACCGTACTACCTTGTATAAATTCGCATTGGCGCAGAAATAAGCAAAATGAAATGCGCTTTAGCCTGAAGAGGCGCAATTGTGTCAACACATTTTTCTGATTCCGGCAGTGGCGCTGGAGTTAGTGTGTCAGCTCCAAAAAATTTGCGCCGTTACCCAGGCCCATCTGAATTTCAGATACCACAAATGTATGTTTCCTTCAAAAATACTAAAGTACTACAAAAAGTGTACACTACTTGCAAATGCTTTTTACGCGCGGTAGTTGCAAAAGTCAAAGTAAATACTCTACGCGTCTTGCTGTTGATCGGGAGTTTACTTATACTATATTCACGTGGAACCATAAACTCGAGTTTAACGTTTTGAGTTTATGAACAACTGTCAAGTGTTCGCATTGGGGTGTTTAAGAAACTCAGAGTGTAATTTGACATTTATTTGTTTACTTTTTCTTATTCACATTTAGCCTGTTCCCGTACTCCAGGGTGTAGACAGAAATAGTCCGAAGTAGCCGCTTTGTAGAATACCAGCCATTTAGCAAAAAAAAAGCAAAAAAAAAATGTGACTCGATGGAACTTCTCATGCTGATTTCAACCATGACAAGATTATTTGGCACATATAAAAACCAAATCCAATAAAAGAGGGTAAAGTTGAACTTTTATATTTTTTATATTTATAATATCTGGGAAAGTATTTGACCGATCATAAAAGTATTGATGCTATCTTAAAGATAATTTAAATACCTTTTACGCGGTGTATACAGTATAACCCTTTTTAAAAAAAATTTGAAATAAACGCCGTTTAAAAAATATATATATTTTTTAATTATAATGTATTTCTGGCTTAAAAATATTAAAAAGGAGAAAGTTTTGTACACCAAGTGAACGACCCCTAATTACCTTTATTTTGACGTCATTCGTTTTTTAACCCTTCGGAGGGCGCGCTTTGAAAGTTAAACGAGGGGGAGCGTCGCGGCAATTTAACCACAAGGTCCATTTCAAAGGTTGACTGCAGTTTTTTTATTTATGTCGAAAAATCATTTAAATAAAACATTGAATAATTTGTGTTTATACCGAAACATATTATAAGCATTTATTTTTTA